AAACTTTAAGAAGACATTTTGTAATTAATCGTAAATGAAAATTGACTTAAAATTCACACATAGTTTTTTAAGAATCAACTCGAATTGAAATAAAATTTGATAGATATTCAGATCAAATTATTTTTAAATTCAACTATGTGGTTTTTTTTTTATATTTCTTTAGCGGTCACTATATTTTATTTCTTCCCGTTACGATGGATGCAACTATGTGTGTAGCGCATGGTTGAAATGCATTAGAGAGAGAGAGAGATATGACTTTAAAAAACATAAGGTTCTTTCATGGGTTTACACATTAGCATACATACAAAATAATTATCAATTAATTTTTAGTTTATAAAGTAATTGTCTATTTATTTGTTTTGTAGTGTTAAAGCAATTACCATAATTATTACATGACAACATACAATAAATATGGTGGAAAAGTGGTAGGAGTTCTGATGTAGTATTAAAATGGGATATTAAATGTAACATATCAATCAATTTTTTAGACATTAATTGGTTGGATACATAAATACTAAAATAATTCCCAACTTTAAGCCCATCCTTTTTTTTTCTTGGGTGTTTTGCTCCGTCGAAAGAACAATGCTATCGAGCTATAATTTAAGAATTTAATGATTATGTCCATTAGATTGTCAGTGAGTCACAACATTAAAATATCTCTAGGTCTTAACACCATCAATCAAATGATCATAATACATTAAGTTCAAAAATTATGTTTCAATAGCATTAGTATAAATAAAAATATTGTAATGGGTAATTCAAAATTTGTTACGAGATATGCACAATATATATCATGCACGATTATCTTTCTATCTAATATTACTTCTCATAAGTTGAATTATTAATTTATAAAAATATAACAATTGTCAAAATTGATCAAATTTTTGTCTACTTTGATACAAATGTACAAAATGCATCCCCAAAATTGTTTTTTCATTCAAAAATATTATTTTCTTTGCACGGTCCTCAATGTCAAATAATTTAACTAACTCATTCCTTAATGTTAAATAACTTTATTCATCTATATTTATCTCTATCTTATTTTCTAACTATTCACTTGAATTTTAAATTAAATAATTAAAAATATAAAATTATATGTCATGTAGAGTTGTATATTATAGATTATCTTCAAGTACGAGATTGTTGCTAGTAGCTTTCTATGTCATGTAGAACTGTCAGTTTTATTATATTTTTTTCGAGACATTCTCAAATTATTAATAATTTTTGGAAAGAAAGTCAAAAACCAGATATCAAAGATTATTCATAATTAGAATAAAAGGAAAAGAGTTTTTCATTGCTGTTTGTTTTTAAACTTAGATTAAAAAAAAAAGGGTAAAACTAAATAGATGACCAAATCATGAATTGCCACAAGGGGTAGTTTCGGTAAATCAAAATAGAAAAAGAAATATAATATTTTTCAGTATTTTGCATTCCTCCCAATCTCTTCTCTCCCCGTGTTGTTTGTGTTTTTCTATTCTTTTTCTCCCTCCTATCCTATATATAACTCACTCTCTTAGCTTTCGCTAAGTAATTATCCTCTCTGTCTGTCTCTCTACATTTTCTATCTCTATATCCCTCTGCGATCATCAATCGCAAAAATTCAGAGTAGAAAAGCTTCTGCGAAAACCCTAGAAATATACGATCTTCTAAGTTTCAAAATTCTTCGTCTCAGTCACAATTCTTTTCAATCATCCATCATCTAATCGCAATTCTCCTCTGTCCGATCGGTTTACTTGATATTTATTCACTTCGATTTTTCAAGTACCCCGTCTTTCAATTGCAGAGTCAATTCCAATCGGTTCTAAACTGAGAATCGATCGGTTCAAGGTCGGTTATTTGAATCGGGCAATGGTTTCATTGGATTAATTTCAAGATGAAGTTGAAGAGACGGAGGGCTTCAGAAGTGGTTAGCGGATACATTTTAGTTTTCCACATGTTTTTGATACTCTTTTTGTTTTGTATTGATTGAATAAGAATTGCTTGGAGTGTGTTAATTTATAGGGTTTATGTTGATTGTTTGTTCTTTATCTGTCACTACTGTGTCAGCAAAGAGTTGTTAGCTTCTATTCTAAAACAGCTTGCTCGTTGAATCATCAAATTTTTTTATTGACTTTGGTGATTTATGATTTAAGTTGATTTTCCGCTTTACTGTCCCTAGTCTGAAATAAGATTTTTATTGATTTTATATTTTTGATGATGTTGGCTTTGGAAACTGAAGTTGTAGAGTGTTCTAATTATGAAATTGGTTAATTATGCGATGACTAATTCTTTGCTGATTCTTTTGCTTATCGGAAGGGGTTATTATTTTAGTATATTTTGTCAATTTTATGCCATTATAATTTCTTTTATTTATCGCACAGATTTTATCTTTCTCCTTTTGGTTGATATTTTCGATACTTGATTTTCTTTTTTGATCTACCGGAAACGTTTGTCTTTGATGTTATTGTTTAATGGCATAACTTTTTTCTTTGATTATTAATAACACTGTTGTTTCATATCGAAAAGAGAAAAAGAAAGAATAGAGTTTTGTTTAGAATGTCTAACAGGGTTTAGCTTGTCTTCTACCTTTTTTTTTTTTTTGACTGCAAGGCACAGCCACCTTTTTTTACCTCCCTCAAACACCCATTTTACTTGATAATCATTACACAAATATTATCTTGAATGTCAGCTGGAGAAGGAAGGGCATTCAGGCATAATTAGGTGCTTGGTTTCTGTAGAATGTCAAACTGGTTACCATTGTTGCTTGTGAAAATTTATTGGTAAATGAAAATTAATTTTGGCATTATTTATCTAAGAGTAGTTGCTTGAGCTGTGGTTGCCAACGACAACTAGCGAGAAAAATGTTCCCTTCCTGTTGAAAGTTGGGGTTCACTTATATATTGTCAGTGCCTCTCTCTTGTTATCCTTAATAAGATTTATTTATTTTAGTTTTTCTAAGCAATTGTGTTAGGTTTTTATAATTTGTTATTCCATCCTTGTTTCCTCTCTTTTTTCTATGATGTATGTACATTATTGTTTTATTAGCTGCCACATTTTGATATTCATTTTCTCTGGGGCTACATTCATTAATTTGGTGGGATTGTGATTTGTTTGTGATAAGTAAATTTATCTTTTATCAACTTTTAAGATAAAAGTAGGATCAGATGGCCAAGTAGGATCATGTTGCAGAGAGGGTCAACCACCCTTAACTGCATTCTATCCCCCGGGAGCCTCATTCTATTAACAAAAAAGGGAAAAGTTTCTGTGCTGTTTCTCCAAGTTTATTAGTCTGAATAATAGGCTATTCACTCGAGTGTGGTGGTAAGACACCTATAATTCGTCTGATTGTCAATGTGGGATTTGTTTGCATCTTTGTGCCTCACCTTGGTTTTTTATCCTCTTTTGCATCTTTCAGACCAAAAAAATAAAAAAAGAAAAAAGATATGATTTTTCCAATGTAGTAAAGCTTACTTTTTTCTCAAAACCTTTAAATTCTAAATTTGAAACTCTTTGATGGAGGCTCAGGGCTATGTATGCAATTATCATCGCAAACACCACATGATATTATACAGCAATCCGGCTCCAGGAGCTGAGTTATTATTTTCGTGTGTAGTAATATCCACTATTAGTTGTGTAGAACTCTTATGGTCAACCTCGTTGCAAGACATTGTCTTGTCAAATGATGATCACAATCAACATGAACAAAAAAATTTGGAAATAAAATCTCAAACTTTAAATTGGGAAAGCTAGGACATTTGATTGGTACAAGCATAAGCTTTACGTAGACCATGAAAATAACTTGCAGGACGGACACATAGCTGCATTGTTGCTCTAAACATTAAATGACTAACTAGTTGAATATTTTTTTTTTGTCAAAAAACAATACACTGAAACATTTTCTGTCCATTCTTAAGGTGAAAATTTGACTCCTAGTTTTTTTTTAAAATTTTTTTTTATGAAAATAGAGGTTTAAATAATTAAAAATTGTTAAATTCTCCATTACAAATTACAATCACTTCACATGAACTTTTATGTTTTATAATTCTAGTGATTTATTATGACCTGGTATATCCCTCATCCAATCTGATATGCAGAATTAAAAAATCCATATTAAGTAGGAATGGATCATGGCAAGGACATGAATTTTGATGATCATTCATGCAAAATGTTTAATGGTGATGCTGTTGTGTATACATATCTCTCATGGGCATAAGCCTGAACTTAGGACTTCCTTTTGAGGCTTTGTGTTTGTGTGTTGTATCTCTGCAAGCTATCACAAATCTAGTGAGTTCCATGGTTTGCTAAGCCAGTCCCCTTCCTTAGCCACCCCAGGTGTTACTACTAAATGTTTCATTCACAAAACACATTTATCTTTTATTTTGGCATCAGAAATACTTCTGTCTTACCTCTTTCTGATAAATTGCGTAGAATGGCATAATAGTATTTACTAGGAACCCCAAGTAGTTGAGATGAATTAGGTCTGTGATTGATGAGCACCCTTGTTGCTATAAATGAAAGATAATAACGGGTAATACTATTCGTTTTGTTAATTGTATAATTGCAATTTTTTTATTATATTTTTGGTTTGTTTTGGGTTTGTACTGGATTTCCAAGTGCTGTGATTGTAACTTTTTTTTTTTTGATCAACTGAGTTTCTAGGATATCATGCAAATACCTGAAATAATACACACTGTCAAGAGCCTGGGTCCAATTCTTTGAACTTTAGTGGTTGTTTTCATCATTCAATTTCTGAATTCTTACTTTAAAGAATCTGCATGCTAGTTTGCAACTCGTGGTCTATCATGTATAGTCAAACCCCAATTGTCTCTTTCGGCACTTATTGAGCCCTTTGTTTAATTAGGGAGGAAAAAAGTAAACAATCTAAAAGGAAGTCGGTAGCAATTGAACTTTTACGTCAGTTTTTTTCCATGTTGACCATTGTTCTGCTTACAAACTGATTGAGGTTAGGATGAATAGAAAAATATATTTGTTTTAGTTTTGTTGCTGTCTCTGCTGCTTGGATGAGCACCTTCACTCTGGTTTGTGATGATAGTGGAGAAAAGTTTTATTCTTGCAATTAATGCAGCTTAGGAGCATTAATTGCTCGCATTTATGTCTAACTTTGTGCATATTCATTGTTTCTTGCATCAGAAACCCTGCTAATACAATTGCTATATATTTGCTACATGGTAGAATAACATTTTTGTTGCTTTGTCGCAGCCTCCAAAAATTAGATCCTTCATTGGTAGTGTTACTGCTACTCCACTTGAAACTATTGAAGAAGCCCTGAAAAATTTTGTGTGGGAGTTTGATAAGGTGCCCTGACAATTCTTTTCTCTACAAATCATCTTTTTTCTTTACCAAATAGATGCACAAGTTTGCTATTATTAGGTTTGGTTGACACTAATTTGTTGCTGATGCAGGGAGATTTCCATCATTGGGTTGATCTTTTTAATCACTTTGATACTTTTTTTGAGAAGTACATAAAACCAAGGAAGGATTTGCAGCTTGAGAATACCATTTTGGACTCGAGTCCTCCCTTTCCAAGAGAGGCCGTTCTTCAAATCCTCCGTGTTATAAGGATAATTTTGGAAAACTGCACAAATAAGCACTTCTACAGTTCTTACGAGGTATCTGTCTTCTCCTCAAGATACACATCTCTTATTCTTCGTGATACAAGTTTATTGGTTTGAATCTCAGTTATGAATTGCATGTGTCAGTGTGACGCGTTGAAGCACACAATCTTGTTTGCATTTACTGATCCAATCTATTTATTTTTTTCTATTTTAATCTTAGGTTTTTGTTGGGGTAATTTCCTTAAGTAGACATATGTTCCTGTAGTTTGCCCTATCTTTCTCTATATTTGTTTTTGAAAACTGTAATATTCCCTGTCAATGCAGCATCATCTTTCATCTCTGCTTGCTTCTACTGACGCGGATGTGGTTGAAGCTTGTCTGCAAACTTTGGCAGCTTTTTTAAAGAAAACGATTGGGAAGTACATTGTACGGGATGCTTCTCTTAGTTCGAAGTTATACGCTTTTGCCCAAGGCTGGGGTGGAAAGGAGGAAGGCCTTGGATTAATTGCATGTTCTACAGGGAGTGGTTCTGATTCACTTGCTTGTGAGTTAGGTTGCACCCTCCATTTTGAGTTCTATGCAGTGAATGAGCCATCAGATGAAGAGTCTGCTGCAGAACAACCAACTCATGGTTTACAAATTATTCATTTGCCTAACATTAACACCCGCCAGGAGTCTGATCTTGAGCTTTTGCACAAGATAGTTGTAGAATACAAAGTTCCCCCAAGTTTAAGATTTTCTCTTTTAACAAGATTGCGGTTTGCAAGGGCTTTTGGCTCCTTGGCTTCCCAACAGCAGTACACTTGCATTCGCTTGTATGCCTTTGTAGTTCTTGTTCATGCATGTGGTGATACGGATGACTTGGTCTCTTTCTTTCACACTGAACCTGAGTTCATCAATGAATTGGTCACATTATTGAGCTATGAAGATGCAGTTCCTGAAAAAATTCGAATTTTAAGTCTTCTTTCCTTGGTTGCTCTTTGTCAAGATCGGTCACGCCAGCCAACTGTCTTGACTGCCGTAACATCTGGTGGGCACCGTGGCATCCTCTCCAGTCTTATGCAGAAAGCCATTGATTCTATTGTCAGTAATTCATCAAAATGGTCTGTCGTTTTTGCTGAGGCTTTATTGTCTCTTGTCACTGTTTTGGTCTCATCTTCATCTGGTTGTTCAGCCATGCGTGAAGCAGGATTTATACCTACTCTTCTACCTCTTCTTAAGGACACAGATCCCCAGCACTTGCATGTGGTCAGCACGGCTGTACATGTTCTAGAAGCTTTTATGGATTTCAGTAATCCTGCTGCTGCATTGTTTAGAGATTTGGGAGGTTTGGATGATACCATTTCACGCCTGAAGGTAGAAGTGTTGCATGTAGAAAATGGATCAAAGCAGCAAGTTACTTCTATTGAGTTAGACAGTATGGAATCTAGTATTACCCATGTAGCTGCAGGTACTTCTTCTGAGCTGGATACCTTGCAGCCTCTTTATTCTGAAGCATTGGTAGCATATCATCGGCGGTTATTGATGAAAGCTTTACTGCGGGCCATCTCTCTTGGAACCTATGCACCTGGAAGCACTTCTCGTATATATGGTTCAGAGGAGAGTTTGCTGCCACATTGCTTGTGTGTTATTTTCAAAAGAGCAAAAGATTTTGGTGGTGGAGTATTCTCACTGGCAGCAACTGTCATGAGCGATCTCATTCACAAAGATCCTACCTGCTTTTCTGTCTTAGAAGCAGCTGGTCTGCCTTCTGCATTCATGGATGCTATAATGGACGGTGTTATTTGCTCTGCAGAAGCTATAGCATGCATACCTCAGTGCCTAGATGCCTTGTGTCTGAATAATAATGGCCTTCAGGTTGTGAAAGATCGCAATTGTTTGAGGTGCTTTGTGAAAATATTTACTTCCAGAACATATCTGCGTGCCCTTACTGCTGATACGCCGGTATCTTTGTCTAGTGGCCTGGATGAACTGATGCGCCATGCTTCCTCATTGCGTGGGCCTGGTGTGGATATGTTGATTGAGATTCTGAACACAATTGCAAAGCTTGGATCTGGGCCTGAAGCTGCTACCTCATCCACTGATTCTTGTAGCTGTTCAACACCCGTTCCCATGGAAATGGATCCCGATGATAAGAATTTGGTTCCATCAGATGATAGGGATTCATGCAAGATTGAAAGTGCTGAGCAGTCTGCTGAGATGTCTTCTGATGCCTCATTGGTTAATATTGAGTCTTTCCTCCCAGATTGTGTAAGCAATGCTGCTCGTCTTCTTGAAACAGTTCTTCAGAATTCCGACACGTGCCGTATATTTGTAGAGAAGAAGGGCATCGAAGCTGTTCTTCAATTATTTACTTTGCAATTAATGCCTGTTTCGGTGGCTATTGGTCAGAGTATAGCTGTTGCGTTTAAGAATTTCTCCCCACAGCATTCTGCTTCTCTTGCCCGAGCTGTGTGCTCATTCTTTGGAGAGCATTTGAAGTCAACAAATGAACTTTTAGTTTCAGTTGGAGGGGCGCAGCTTGTTCAGGTAGAAGCTGCCAAGCGGACAAATGTTTTGAGGTGCCTCGCTAGTCTGGAAGCTATCCTGTCTCTTTCTAATTCTTTGTTGAAGGGGACTAGTACTGTAGTGTCTGAGTTAGGCACGGCAGATGCTGATGTATTAAAAGATCTTGGGAGGGCTTACAGGGAAATACTCTGGCAAATTTCTTTGTGCTGTGATTCGAAGGTCGATGAGAAACGAAATGTTGAAGTGGAACCTGAAAGTGCAGATGCAGCTGTATCTAACGTTGCTGGAAGAGATAGCGACGATGATGCAAACATCCCTGTAGTGAGATACATGAATCCCGTTTCTGTCAGAAATAGTTCTCCCTCACCATGGGGTGTAGAACGTGATTTTCTTTCTGTTGTTCGTTCCGGTGAAGGTTTTAGTCGTCGTAGTCGACATGGGTTGGCACGAATTCGGGGGGGAAGGACGGGGAGGCATCTGGAAGCATTGCACATTGATTCTGAGGCTTTGCCCAATGTTCTAGAGACTTCTTCCTCACAGGATATGAAGAAGAAAAGTCCCGAGGTTCTTGTTTTGGAAATTCTTAACAAACTTGCTTCTTCTTTGCGGTCTTTCTTGACTGCTCTTGTGAAAGGATTGACATCACCAAACCGTCGAAGAACTGAAACTGGATCATTGAGTTTAGCTTCAAAGAGCATTGGAACTGCACTGGCTAAAGTTTTTCTTGATGCTCTTGGTTTTTCTGGGTATTCTACCTCTGCTGGCCTTGACATGTCATTATCAGTCAAGTGTCGCTATCTTGGAAAGGTTGTGGATGATATGGTGGCACTCACCTTTGATAGCAGGAGACGCACGTGCTATACAGTAATGATTAATAACTTCTACGTTCATGGAACCTTCAAGGAGCTTCTGACAACATTTGAAGCTACAAGTCAATTGTTATGGACACTGCCTTACTCTATTCCAGCATCTGGTATTAATCAAGGGAAAGGTGTTGAGGGAAGCAAGTTGTCTCACAGTCCATGGCTGCTTGATACATTGCAGAGCTATTGCCGTTTACTGGAGTATTTTGTAAATTCTTCTTTGCTTCTATCTCCAAACTCTGCATCCCAAGCTCAGCTACTTGTTCAGCCTGTTGCAGTTGGTTTATCAATTGGGTTATTTCCTGTTCCAAGAGACCCAGAGGTGTTTGTCCGTATGCTGCAGTCTCAGGTTCTGGATGTAATACTTCCTGTCTGGAACCATTCTATGTTTCCAAAGTGCAATCCGGGTTTCATTGCCTCCATTGTTTTGCTTGTTACTCATGTATACTGTGGTGTTGGAGATGTGAAGCGGAATCGCAATGTTGGGTCAGGAAGTACAAACCAACGCTATATAGCACCCCCACCTGATGAAGCTACTATTGCCACAATTGTGGAGATGGGTTTTGGCAGGGCAAGAGCAGAGGAAGCACTGAGACGGGTGGAAACAAACAGTGTTGAGATGGCCATGGAATGGTTGTTTAGTCATGTTGAAGATCCTGTTCAGGAGGATGATGAATTGGCGCGGGCACTTGCTTTGTCACTAGGAAGTTCATCGGAGACATCTAAAGTTGAAAACATTGATAAGTCCATCGATACCCTCAAGGACGATGGACGAACAAAGGAACCCCCTGTGGATGACATTCTTGCTGCAACGATGAAATTGTTTGAGAGTAGTGACTGGATGGCTTTTCCTTTGACTGATTTGCTAGTTACGCTTTGCAGTCGGAACAAAGGTGAAGATCGCCCAAGAGTGATCTCTTATCTTATTCAGCAGCTAAAGCTTTGCCCATTGGAATTTTCTAAGGATGCCAGTGCTTTGTGTATGATATCACATACTTTAGCATTGCTTCTTTCTGAAGATGGAAGTGCGCGAGAGATCGTTGCAAAGAATGGTATTGCCAATGTAGCCATCGATATTCTGATGAACTTCAAAGCAAGAACTGAGTCAGGAAACGAGCCAGTGGTACCAAAATGTGTTAGTGCTCTACTACTTATCTTGGATAATTTGTTGCAATCCAGGCCTAGAATATCTGCTGATATTACTGAGGGAACTCCTGGGGGACCTTTACCTGACTCGTCTGGGGAGCATGTTTCATTGTCTGTTTCAGAAGCAGTAAAAGAGAGAAATCCAACTCCAGCAGCCCATGATAAAGACTCTACTTCATTTGAGAGAATTTTTGGAAACTCTACCGGCTATTTGACTGTTGATGAGAGTCGAAGGGTATTGGTTGTTGCTTGTGACTTGATAAGACAACATGTCCCAGCTATGGTCATGCAGTCTGTTTTACAATTATGTGCTCGGTTGACAAAAACATTCTCTGGCTCTGCAATTTCTCGAAAATGGAGGCTTGGTTGCTCTTTTTAGCCTTCCAAGAAGTTGCTTCTTTCCTGGGTATGATACCTTNGCATGCTCTGGCTCTTCAATTTCTGGAAAATGGAGGCTTGGTTGCTCTTTTTAGCCTTCCAAGAAGTTGCTTCTTTCCTGGGTATGATACTTTGGCATCTGCTATCATTCGGCATCTCCTTGAGGATCCTCAGACCCTGCAGACAGCCATGGAATTTGAGATACGGCAAACTCTAAGTGGAAATCGTCATACTGGTCGTATTTCTCCACGTGCATTTTTGACATCAATGTCACCTGTTATGTCTAGAGATGCAGAGGTATTCATGAAAGCAGCAGCTGCTGTTTGTCAGTTGGAATCATCAGGAGGAAGGACCTTTGTTGTGTTATCAAAAGAAAAAGAGAAAGATAAGGAAAAGTCAAAAGTATCTGGTGTTGAACTGGGGGTATCTTCTACTGAATGTGTTCGAATCCCTGAAAATAAAACCCATGATGGCCCAGCTAAGTGTTCTAAAGGCCACAAAAGAATTCCTGCAAGTCTTANTGCAGAGCTATTGCCGTTTACTGGAGTATTTTGTAAATTCTTCTTTGCTTCTATCTCCAAACTCTGCATCCCAAGCTCAGCTACTTGTTCAGCCTGTTGCAGTTGGTTTATCAATTGGGTTATTTCCTGTTCCAAGAGACCCAGAGGTGTTTGTCCGTATGCTGCAGTCTCAGGTTCTGGATGTAATACTTCCTGTCTGGAACCACTCTATGTTTCCAAAGTGCAATCCGGGTTTCATTGCCTCCATTGTTTTGCTTGTTACTCATGTATACTGTGGTGTTGGAGATGTGAAGCGGAATCGCAATGTTGGGTCAGGAAGTACAAACCAACGCTATATAGCACCCCCACCTGATGAAGCTACTATTGCCACAATTGTGGAGATGGGTTTTGGCAGGGCAAGAGCAGAGGAAGCACTGAGACGGGTGGAAACAAACAGTGTTGAGATGGCCATGGAATGGTTGTTTAGTCATGTTGAAGATCCTGTTCAGGAGGATGATGAATTGGCGCGGGCACTTGCTTTGTCACTAGGAAGTTCATCGGAGACATCTAAAGTTGAAAACATTGATAAGTCCATCGATACCCTCAAGGACGATGGACGAACAAAGGAACCCCCTGTGGATGACATTCTTGCTGCAACGATGAAATTGTTTGAGAGTAGTGACTGGATGGCTTTTCCTTTGACTGATTTGCTAGTTACGCTTTGCAGTCGGAACAAAGGTGAAGATCGCCCAAGAGTGATCTCTTATCTTATTCAGCAGCTAAAGCTTTGCCCATTGGAATTTTCTAAGGATGCCAGTGCTTTGTGTATGATATCACATACTTTAGCATTGCTTCTTTCTGAAGATGGAAGTGCGCGAGAGATCGTTGCAAAGAATGGTATTGCCAATGTAGCCATCGATATTCTGATGAACTTCAAAGCAAGAACTGAGTCAGGAAACGAGCCAGTGGTACCAAAATGTGTTAGTGCTCTACTACTTATCTTGGATAATTTGTTGCAATCCAGGCCTAGAATATCTGCTGATATTACTGAGGGAACTCCTGGGGGACCTTTACCTGACTCGTCTGGGGAGCATGTTTCATTGTCTGTTTCAGAAGCAGTAAAAGAGAGAAATCCAACTCCAGCAGCCCATGATAAAGACTCTACTTCATTTGAGAGAATTTTTGGAAACTCTACCGGCTATTTGACTGTTGATGAGAGTCGAAGGGTATTGGTTGTTGCTTGTGACTTGATAAGACAACATGTCCCAGCTATGGTCATGCAGTCTGTTTTACAATTATGTGCTCGGTTGACAAAAACATTCTCTGGCTCTGCAATTTCTCGAAAATGGAGGCTTGGTTGCTCTTTTTAGCCTTCCAAGAAGTTGCTTCTTTCCTGGGTATGATACCTTGGCATCTGCTATCATTCGGCATCTCCTTGAGGATCCTCAGACCCTGCAGACAGCCATGGAATTGGAGATACGACAAACTCTAAGTGGAAATCGTCATACTGGTCGTATTTCTCCACGTGCATTTTTGACATCAATGTCACCTGTTATGTCTAGAGATGCAGAGGTATTCATGAAAGCAGCAGCTGCTGTTTGTCAGTTGGAATCATCAGGAGGAAGGACCTTTGTTGTGTTATCAAAAGAAAAAGAGAAAGATAAGGAAAAGTCAAAAGTATCTGGTGTTGAACTGGGGGTATCTTCTACTGAATGTGTTCGAATCCCTGAAAATAAAACCCATGATGGCCCAGCTAAGTGTTCTAAAGGCCACAAAAGAATTCCTGCAAGTCTTACTATGGTAATTGATCATCTTCTTGAAATTGTAATGAAATTTCCTTCACCAAGTGGTGAGGACAATTGCACAAATTATCCAAGTGCAATGGAGGTTGATGAACCTGCTACCAAGGTAAAGGGTAAATCGAAGGTTGATGAGGCAAAGAAGATTGAATCAGACAGTCAATCAGAAAGATCAGTGGGGCTAGCTAAGGTGACTTTTGTCCTCAAGTTATTGAGTGATATTCTTTTGATGTATNTTCTATGTTTCCAAAGTGCAATCCGGGTTTCATTGCCTCCATTGTTTTGCTTGTTACTCATGTATACTGTGGTGTTGGAGATGTGAAGCGGAATCGCAATGTTGGGTCAGGAAGTACAAACCAACGCTATATAGCACCCCCACCTGATGAAGCTACTATTGCCACAATTGTGGAGATGGGTTTTGGCAGGGCAAGAGCAGAGGAAGCACTGAGACGGGTGGAAACAAACAGTGTTGAGATGGCCATGGAATGGTTGTTTAGTCATGTTGAAGATCCTGTTCAGGAGGATGATGAATTGGCGCGGGCACTTGCTTTGTCACTAGGAAGTTCATCGGAGACATCTAAAGTTGAAAACATTGATAAGTCCATCGATACCCTCAAGGACGATGGACGAACAAAGGAACCCCCTGTGGATGACATTCTTGCTGCAACGATGAAATTGTTTGAGAGTAGTGACTGGATGGCTTTTCCTTTGACTGATTTGCTAGTTACGCTTTGCAGTCGGAACAAAGGTGAAGATCGCCCAAGAGTGATCTCTTATCTTATTCAGCAGCTAAAGCTTTGCCCATTGGAATTTTCTAAGGATGCCAGTGCTTTGTGTATGATATCACATACTTTAGCATTGCTTCTTTCTGAAGATGGAAGTGCGCGAGAGATCGTTGCAAAGAATGGTATTGCCAATGTAGCCATCGATATTCTGATGAACTTCAAAGCAAGAACTGAGTCAGGAAACGAGCCAGTGGTACCAAAATGTGTTAGTGCTCTACTACTTATCTTGGATAATTTGTTGCAATCCAGGCCTAGAATATCTGCTGATATTACTGAGGGAACTCCTGGGGGACCTTTACCTGACTCGTCTGGGGAGCATGTTTCATTGTCTGTTTCAGAAGCAGTAAAAGAGAGAAATCCAACTCCAGCAGCCCATGATAAAGACTCTACTTCATTTGAGAGAATTTTTGGAAACTCTACCGGCTATTTGACTGTTGATGAGAGTCGAAGGGTATTGGTTGTTGCTTGTGACTTGATAAGACAACATGTCCCAGCTATGGTCATGCAGTCTGTTTTACAATTATGTGCTCGGTTGACAAAAACATTCTCTGGCTCTGCAATTTCTCGAAAATGGAGGCTTGGTTGCTCTTTTTAGCCTTCCAAGAAGTTGCTTCTTTCCTGGGTATGATACCTTGGCATCTGCTATCATTCGGCATCTCCTTGAGGATCCTCAGACCCTGCAGACAGCCATGGAATTGGAGATACGACAAACTCTAAGTGGAAATCGTCATACTGGTCGTATTTCTCCACGTGCATTTTTGACATCAATGTCACCTGTTATGTCTAGAGATGCAGAGGTATTCATGAAAGCAGCAGCTGCTGTTTGTCAGTTGGAATCATCAGGAGGAAGGACCTTTGTTGTGTTATCAAAAGAAAAAGAGAAAGATAAGGAAAAGTCAAAAGTATCTGGTGTTGAACTGGGGGTATCTTCTACTGAATGTGTTCGAATCCCTGAAAATAAAACCCATGATGGCCCAGCTAAGTGTTCTAAAGGCCACAAAAGAATTCCTGCAAGTCTTACTATGGTAATTGATCATCTTCTTGAAATTGTAATGAAATTTCCTTCACCAAGTGGTGAGGACAATTGCACAAATTATCCAAGTGCAATGGAGGTTGATGAACCTGCTACCAAGGTAAAGGGTAAATCGAAGGTTGATGAGGCAAAGAAGATTGAATCAGACAGTCAATCAGAAAGATCAGTGGGGCTAGCTAAGGTGACTTTTGTCCTCAAGTTATTGAGTGATATTCTTTTGATGTATGTGCATGCAGTTGGGGTTATACTGAGACGGGATTTGGAAATGGGTCCACCCCGGGGATCTAATCAACCAGATAGTCTAGGACATGGTGGGATAGTGCATCATGTTCTACATCGACTTCTTTCTCTGTCTATAGATAAAACTGTTGGACCCGATGAATGGAGAGACAAGTTATCTGAAAAAGCTTCGTGGTTTCTTGTGGTTTTGTGTGGCCGTTCTGGTGAAGGGCGTAGACGTGTGATTAATGAACTTGTGAAAGCCTTGTCTTCATTTTCAGACTCAGAGGGCAATTCGTCTAAGAGCAGTTTGTTGCCTGATAAAAAGGTGATCGCTTTTGTCGACTTGGCATATTCTATTCTATCAAAAAATTCAGCATCCAGCAACTTACCTGGTTCTGGATGTTCGCCTGACATAGCAAAAAGCATGATAGATGGAGGAATGGTTCAGTGTCTATCTGGTATTCTTCAGGTGATTGATTTGGACCATCCTGATGCTCCCAAAATTGTGAATCTCATACTTAAGGGTTTGGAAAACCTAACACGGGCTGCCAATGCCAGCGAGCAACTTGTCAAATCAGATGCACTGAACAGGAAAAAGTTAATTGGTGCAAGTGTGAGGTCTGATGATCAGACAACTAGAACTTCAGTTACTCTGACGGATGAACCTAATCAGAATGGAAGCAGTCAACGGGAAGTCACTGATGCAGCAGATGCTGAGCAGCAGCCACAAGGAACATCACAGATTGAAGGTGATAACCATGCAAATCCTAACCAATCCATGGATCAGGAAATGAGACTTGAGGCAGAGGAAAATATGACCACAAATCCACCTATGGAGGTTGGGATAGACTTCATGCGTGAGGAGATGGAAGAAGGTAGCGAATTGCACAACACAGACCAAATTGAGATGACTTTTCATGTTGAGAATAGAGTAGATGATGACATGGCTGATGAAGATGATGACATGGGGGATGATGGCGAGGATGAGGATGAGGATGATGATGATGAGGGGGACGAGGATGAGGATATAGCCGAAGATGGTGCTGGTCTGATGTCTCTAGCTGATACTGATGTGGAAGACCATGATGACACTGGCTTAGGAGATGAATATAATGATGACATGGTCGATGAAGAGGATGATGATTTCCATGAAAATCGTGTCATTGAGGTAAGGTGGAGGGAGGCCCTTGATGGGATAGATCATTTGCAGGTACTGGGGCAACCTGGTGCTGCTGGTGGACTCATTAACGTTGCTGCCGAACCATTTGAAGGGGTGAATGTTGACGACCTTTTTGGTCTCCGTAGGCCTGTAGGCTTTGAACGCCGCAGGCAAACAAGTAGAACTTCCTTTGAGCGTTCTGCTACTGAAGGTAATGGTCTTCAGCATCCTCTCCTCTTGAGACCATCTCAGTCTGGGAATCCCATTTCAATGTGGTCATCGGCTGGGAATTCTTCCAGGGATTTAGACGCCCTTTCTGCCGGAAACTTTGACATAGCACATTTCTACATGTTTGATGCTCCTGTTCTTCCTTATGATCATGCACCAGGTAGTCTTTTTGGTGACCGATTGGGTGGTGCACCACCACCACCATTGGCTGATTTTTCTGTTGGTTTGGAGTCAATGCGTGTACAAGGACGACGAGGGCCAGGTGATGGCCGGTGGACTGATGATGGTCAGCCACAAGCAGGCGGCCAAGCTGCTGCTATTGCACTGGCGGTTGAAGATCAGTTCATATCTCAATTGCGCGGTGATGCTCCTGTGAACGTTCCGGCTGAAAGTCGGTTGCAGAATGCAGGACTGCCAGAGAAACAACAATCAGATGCCTCCTTAGCGAGTGATAGTCAATTGGCATTAATAGAGGGTGATAATGCTGGTGCCCAACAGAATGATGGTCAGCATCATGAGAATGGTCATGAAAGATTACACCATATAAATCCAATGGTTGAAAGTGCTTCTTCTCCGGAACAAATCAACCCAGAGGTCGTTGTCGAAGAAGAAGGTGAGTGCCAACAGGTACTTGAACCTATGGCAAATCTTACACCTCTTGTGGATGATACACACAATGTTCATGATAGGATGGAAATTGGGGGGGTCAATGGCAGTACCAGTGGGCAGATAGAGGCAATCCCAGGTTTTGTTTTGTCTTCTACCTACTCTCACGGTGATCAGCAGGTTGAAAGGGATTCCGAGGTTCTTGCTATAGATAGTCAGTCCAGTAACCATCAATTGGTCACCTCTGATGTAGAGCTGCCTAATCCAATCGATTGTCAGGCTTCTTCTGTTCTTGGAAGTGCTGATGTTGATATGAACCGTGCTGATGTTAATACAAACAGAGTGGACCCAGAAGGAAATCAGCCTGACCAAAGCATACCTTCTGAGGTCAATTCAGAGGTGGCTTCATTAAGGCAGAACACAATGGTTGCTCAAGATGCTAGTCAGACTGATGAAACTGGTTTAAATAACGAACCCCCCAGTACAAATGGTATAGATCCAACCTTCCTGGAGGCACTTCCTGAAGATCTTCGGGCTGAAGTTCTTGCTTCGCAGCAAGCTCAGTCTGCGCAAGGTCCAACTTATGCACCACCTATAGCTGAGGATATTGATCCAGAGTTTTTAGCAGCCCTTCCTCCAGACATTCAGGCAGAAGTTTTGGCCCAGCAACGAGCTCAGAGGATGGCTCACCAGGCTGAAGGACAACCTGTTGATATGGATAATGCATCAATTATAGCTACATTTCCTGCTGATTTGCGAGAAGAGGTTTGCACCTTGGTCTGTGCCACTCATCACTTGCTGAGTAAAAATAACTTTTGTGTTTGCATCTATTTCAGGTGCTTTTGACTTCTTCAGAGGCAGTTCTATCAGCATTGCCCTCTCCATTACTTGCTGAAGCGCAAATGTTGAGGGATAGAGAAATGAGTCATTATCAGGCTCGCAGCTTGTTTGGAAGTAGCCACAGGCTTGGTACTCGGAGAAATGGATTGGGGTTTGACAGACAGGCAGTGATGGATAGAGGTGTTGGCATTACGATTGGCCGAAGGGGATCTTCTGCTCTTGCAGAGAGCTTGAAGTCGAAGGAAGTCGAAGGGGAGCCACTCTTGGATGCAAATGCTTTGAAAGCATTGATCCGCCTATTACGATTAGCGCAGGTGATTCATATCCCATTTATTGGTTTATTTGGTGGCCAAAATTTGAAAGCTACCCAGTTTACGAGCTGATATGTTTGTGAGAATGCAACGTATATATGTAACTGTATACATGAAGTTCATCAAGTCGCTAATTTGTTGTTCAAGAGATCAAAGCAAACAAAAAAGCCCACCCAAAAAAATGAGATTTAGTATAGGGGTTGGATGGAAATTACTTTTGTCTCGGTTCATCTTCTTGTGGAATACTTCCTCGAGGAACTCTGGGGTTTTTTTTGGGGAAAATCTTTAGTGGACAATACATTTCTTTTTGCTTTCAGCCTTTTCTGGTTGAAGAAGGATCTCTTATTTTTCCAACCTGGTACTTCTTAATATCTTTTAGTTAATTCTTGTTACTTATGAAAGAATGAACAAGGATAATTGGCTTTGGTTTCATGTTAACTTTTGTTTTTGGTCGAGATGATGCAGCCATGGCGTTCCCTGATGTGAATAACTTCTTATTGTAAATTGATAAATTTTTGAATAGCTCAGAACTTTGATTTTTTGGAACTTTTATTGCAGTTAGAACCTGGAACAAAATTGTCTGCATAATTTCTTTAATTTGGTTGGGCAAACAATTTTCATATATTTATTTTGTAAACTATGTTGATGTTCAACTTAAGTGGTGAATCTTATTTCTTTAATATGCTTGCAGCCTCTTGGGAAAGGCCTTTTGCAGAGACTTCTGTTAAACTTATGTGCACATAGCCGTACAAGGGCAATTCTAGTTCGCCTTCTGCTTGACATGATTGGGCCAGAGACTGAAGGCCCAGTTGGCAGATTGTTGACAGTTAACTCCCAGAGGCTATATGGTTGTCAATCCAATGTTGTATATGGTCAATCTCAGTTGTTGGACGGTACCTACTGCTTTTAGATTGACAACATTTGTTTGATTTTTATATGAAGAGATTTTTTTTTCCCGAAATAAGTGAACATGCTGACCTCTAATTCACAAGTTTGTTCGTTTGCAGGTCTGCCTCCCCTGGTGCTGCGTCGTATTCTTGAGATTTTGACTTATCTGGCCGCCAATCATTCTGCGGTTGCCAATATCTTGTTTTACTTTGATCCGTCACTTATTCCAGAGTCATCAAATCAAAAATATTTGGAAACCAAGAAGGGTAAAGGCAAGGAGAAAATTGTGGAACTAGGATATTCGTCAGACTCTTTAGGAGGTTCTCGGAAGGGGGATGTTCCTGTGATACTGTTTCTCAAACTCTTGAGTCAACCGCTTTTCTTGCGCAGCATTGCTCATCTTGAACAGGTGTGAGTGAGCTCCTGTAAAATGGTGCTATCCATCAACCTCATGAAGTGGCTTGCATTTTACTCTTTTCTCAGATTTATTTTATTTGTTTTCATAATATTCATGTGGTGCAGGTCATGGGTCTGCTCCAAGTAGTTGTCTATACTGCAGCATCAAAATTAGATTGTCAATCTAATTCAGAACAAGCTGTAGTCAGTTCTCAAAATCTATCTGGCAATGAAACTGTGAGTGATGTACCAAAAGATCCTCCTTTGTCAGAAATGGAAGCTATTCAAGGTGATTTAGGTGCCAGTGGTGAGTTACATACATCAGAGGGACAGAGAAGCACCAATATGTATGATATCTTCTTACAGATGCCACAATCTGATTTGCACTATCTGTGCAGCCTTCTTGGCCATGAAGGGTATTATTTCTGGAGTCTGAGTTCTGACAATATACGTATCCCCCCCCCAAAAAAAAAAAAAAAAAACAACAAAAAACTACAAGCCTCTGTTTGTAAAAGCCTGCTTGTTCTCAATAAATCTGAATTTTTTTCCTTGTATTTCCAATTCCTTACCTCTTCCACTTCTTTTTGTTCTTTGCTTCTAGTATTTTGTTGCACTCATTGAGTGTGTAACCCAGTCTTTTTATCAATCAGGCTCTCAGACAAACTTTACACGCTTGCTGGGGAGGTGCTGAAAAAGTTGGCCTTGGTTGCTGCTTCCCATCGAAAATTCTTTATTATGGAGCTTTCAGATTTAGCTCATAGTTTGAGCAACTCGGCCGTCAGTGAGCTTATCACACTAAGGAATACACACATGCTGGGTTTGAGTGCCGGATCAATGGCTGGGGCTGCAATCCTTCGTGTTCTGCAGACTCTCAGCTCACTCTCTTCACCTAGTGTGGATCGGAATAAGGTTAAGGAGAGTGGTGAGGAACTGGATGAGCATGCAACCTTGTGGAAGTTGTATGTTGCACTTGAGCCATTGTGGCAAGAATTGAGTGACTGTATAAGTACAACCGAGACAGAGCTGGCACAGAGCTCTTTTTCACCAATTATGTCAAATATGAACGTTGGGGAGCAAGTACAGGTTTCTCCATCTCTATCATCTCCTCCTCTTCCTCCTGGAACCCAGAGACTCTTGCCTTTTATTGAGGCTTACTTTGTTTTGTGTGAAAAACTACAAGCAAACAATTCCATCATGCAGCAAGATCATGCCTCCTACTCAACTGCAAGAGAAGTCAAGGAGTTCGCAGGGAGTTCATCTCCGTTGTCTATGAAATGTGGAGTGGATTCTCAGAGGAGGCTTGATGGTGCTGTCACATTTGCAAGGTTTGCTGAGAAGCATCGCCGGCTGCTGAATGCTTTTGTCAGGCAGAATCCTGGCTTGTTGGAGAAATCACTTTGTATGATGCTGAAAGCCCCCCGGCTGATTGATTTTGACAACAAAAGGGCTTATTTTCGCTCAAGAATTAGGCAGCAGCATGAACAACACTTATCTGGACCACTGCGGATTAGCGTTCGACGGGCATATGTTTTAGAGGACTCGTATAACCAGTTGCGAATGCGACCAAATCAAGACCTGAAGGGACGCTTGAATGTGCATTTTCAGGGTGAAGAGGGTATTGATGCTGGTGGTTTGACGAGAGAGTGGTATCAATTACTGTCAAGAGTTATATTTGATAAAGGAGCTTTGCTTTTCACAACTGTGGGAAACAATGCAACCTTCCAACCGAACCCTAATTCTNTCACACTAAGGAATACACACATGCTGGGTTTGAGTGCCGGATCAATGGCTGGGGCTGCAATCCTTCGTGTTCTGCAGACTCTCAGCTCACTCTCTTCACCTAGTGTGGATCGGAATAAGGTTAAGGAGAGTGGTGAGGAACTGGATGAGCATGCAACCTTGTGGAAGTTGTATGTTGCACTTGAGCCATTGTGGCAAGAATTGAGTGACTGTATAAGTACAACCGAGACAGAGCTGGCACAGAGCTCTTTTTCACCAATTATGTCAAATATGAACGTTGGGGAGCAAGTACAGGTTTCTCCATCTCTATCATCTCCTCCTCTTCCTCCTGGAACCCAGAGACTCTTGCCTTTTATTGAGGCTTACTTTGTTTTGTGTGAAAAACTACAAGCAAACAATTCCATCATGCAGCAAGATCATGCCTCCTACTCAACTGCAAGAGAAGTCAAGGAGTTCGCAGGGAGTTCATCTCCGTTGTCTATGAAATGTGGAGTGGATTCTCAGAGGAGGCTTGATGGTGCTGTCACATTTGCAAGGTTTGCTGAGAAGCATCGCCGGCTGCTGAATGCTTTTGTCAGGCAGAATCCTGGCTTGTTGGAGAAATCACTTTGTATGATGCTGAAAGCCCCCCGGCTGATTGATTTTGACAACAAAAGGGCTTATTTTCGCTCAAGAATTAGGCAGCAGCATGAACAACACTTATCTGGACCACTGCGGATTAGCGTTCGACGGGCATATGTTTTAGAGGACTCGTATAACCAGTTGCGAATGCGACCAAATCAAGACCTGAAGGGACGCTTGAATGTGCATTTTCAGGGTGAAGAGGGTATTGATGCTGGTGGTTTGACGAGAGAGTGGTATCAATTACTGTCAAGAGTTATATTTGATAAAGGAGCTTTGCTTTTCACAACTGTGGGAAACAATGCAACCTTCCAACCGAACCCTAATTCTGTCTATCAGACTGAACATCTTTCATACTTCAAATTTGTTGGCCGCGTGGTAATTTTTGTGGTCACCTTGAATTCTGAGCTGGGATTTTCTTTATGGTGTCTATTCTCATTTCTTATGTTTTAATTTTAATGTCTGTATCACAATCTCTCTTATAGGTTGCTAAGGCACTGTTTGATGGGCAACTGTTGGATGTTTATTTCACTCGGTCCTTTTACAAGCACATTCTTGGAGTAAAAGTGACTTATCATGATATTGAAGCTGTTGATCCTGATTACTACAAAAACTTGAAGTGGATGCTGGAGGTGAGTGATTTCTAGTAATTCGGTCTATCTTGGTCTGACATCAGCATTCTTTGTTGGGGGTATGACAGTTTTTTAAAATTTCTTTTTTTTCAGAATGATGTGAGTGATATCCCCGATCTGACATTTAGCATGGATGCGGATGAAGAAAAACTCATTCTCTATGAGAAAACGGAGGTATGAAAGTACAAATTCATGCACAATTACTGTGTTCATCCATTGTTTAACGCTTTTTTTTTAATTTAGAGGGTTCTGATGTTTGATTTTGAGTCTGTATGTGTGAGCTTTTCCATATAAGGACATATTTGAGCCTCTTCGATCACCCAATTGTTCAATGCATATGCAGTCATCCCATCCCTTATTGGGCAATTAATAGGATAATTTCCTCTTGGTGGCCCCAGGGGGGTACTNACCAATTATGTCAAATATGAACGTTGGGGAGCAAGTACAGGTTTCTCCATCTCTATCATCTCCTCCTCTTCCTCCTGGAACCCAGAGACTCTTGCCTTTTATTGAGGCTTACTTTGTTTTGTGTGAAAAACTACAAGCAAACAATTCCATCATGCAGCAAGATCATGCCTCCTACTCAACTGCAAGAGAAGTCAAGGAGTTCGCAGGGAGTTCATCTCCGTTGTCTATGAAATGTGGAGTGGATTCTCAGAGGAGGCTTGATGGTGCTGTCACATTTGCAAGGTTTGCTGAGAAGCATCGCCGGCTGCTGAATGCTTTTGTCAGGCAGAATCCTGGCTTGTTGGAGAAATCACTTTGTATGATGCTGAAAGCCCCCCGGCTGATTGATTTTGACAACAAAAGGGCTTATTTTCGCTCAAGAATTAGGCAGCAGCATGAACAACACTTATCTGGACCACTGCGGATTAGCGTTCGACGGGCATATGTTTTAGAGGACTCGTATAACCAGTTGCGAATGCGACCAAATCAAGACCTGAAGGGACGCTTGAATGTGCATTTTCAGGGTGAAGAGGGTATTGATGCTGGTGGTTTGACGAGAGAGTGGTATCAATTACTGTCAAGAGTTATATTTGATAAAGGAGCTTTGCTTTTCACAACTGTGGGAAACAATGCAACCTTCCAACCGAACCCTAATTCTGTCTATCAGACTGAACATCTTTCATACTTCAAATTTGTTGGCCGCGTGGTAATTTTTGTGGTCACCTTGAATTCTGAGCTGGGATTTTCTTTATGGTGTCTATTCTCATTTCTTATGTTTTAATTTTAATGTCTGTATCACAATCTCTCTTATAGGTTGCTAAGGCACTGTTTGATGGGCAACTGTTGGATGTTTATTTCACTCGGTCCTTTTACAAGCACATTCTTGGAGTAAAAGTGACTTATCATGATATTGAAGCTGTTGATCCTGATTACTACAAAAACTTGAAGTGGATGCTGGAGGTGAGTGATTTCTAGTAATTCGGTCTATCTTGGTCTGACATCAGCATTCTTTGTTGGGGGTATGACAGTTTTTTAAAATTTCTTTTTTTTCAGAATGATGTGAGTGATATCCCCGATCTGACATTTAGCATGGATGCGGATGAAGAAAAACTCATTCTCTATGAGAAAACGGAGGTATGAAAGTACAAATTCATGCACAATTACTGTGTTCATCCATTGTTTAACGCTTTTTTTTTAATTTAGAGGGTTCTGATGTTTGATTTTGAGTCTGTATGTGTGAGCTTTTCCATATAAGGACATATTTGAGCCTCTTCGATCACCCAATTGTTCAATGCATATGCAGTCATCCCATCCCTTATTGGGCAATTAATAGGATAATTTCCTCTTGGTGGCCCCAGGGGGGTACTTGAACTCAGTGTGTGTATATATATATGTGTGTGTGTGTATTTATATTTGAATGTTTTACGACACCCCTCTTAGTATACTTTTTTTTTTGTATTGCAACTACTTGGGAAAAGGTTACTGATTATGAGCTCAAACCCGGAGGAAGAAATATAAGGGTCAACGAAGAAACAAAGCATGAATATGTGGACCTTGTGGCTGATCATATTTTGACAAATGCTATTCGTCCTCAAATTAATTCCTTCCTAGAAGGTTTCAATGAATTGGTGCCGCGTGAACTTATTTCCATATTTAATGATAAAGAGCTTGAGCTACTAATCAGTGGGCTTCCAGAAATTGATTGTGAGTCGGCTTACCTTCCACTTATTCAATGTGTGCCTTATAATTATTTTTCACAATGATATCCGAGTGACATGATTTTAATTACAGTCGATGATCTAAAGGCCAACTCTGAGTATACTGGCTACACAGCAGCATCAATTGTTGTTCAGTGGTTTTGGGAGGTTGTCAAAGCCTTTAACAAGGAAGACATGGCAAGATTCTTACAATTTGTAACTGGTACATCAAAGGTAACTCAAGCCATGACATTAATATCATCACTCCTGAAACCATATTATTTCTCTACATTGGCCAAAATTATTTTGGAACTGCTTCTTTCCCAACCTTTTTGCTGTTTTTTACTGCCCTTTCTGTGGACAGCGGGGCTTTATTTCCGTGTAGGAGGCTGTGGGACTATGCTCAGTTGAATAATTAAACAAGGATGTCCAACCAACCCCAACCCCAACCCCAACCCCCCCTCCACCTCTGACTTTGTTGTCTCCCCCAGCGTATATGTACGAATATTCTGGCATATCTACAGGAATATTATATTTCATTATGATGTATGAAGATGCATTAGTGTGCTTGATGTCCAATAAATGTTACTGATATTCTACTAATGATTTTTTGAGCCTTTTCCATGCCAAATGTCAAAATTTCGTTTCGGTGCATTATTTTGGTCATCTAGGAAATAGAAATATTTGGAAAATGTTTTAGAAATGGAATGAAAAAAAAAACCAAAAAAATTGAGTATTTGTGTCCAAAATATTCTGAAACATTGATTAAATATATTGAAACATCTCGAAATATTCTGAAACATCAGTGGAAATATGCTAAAACATCACGAAATATCTCAAAGGACCTTGAACGATTCAATCCTGAAATTTTGATTCTTGAATGTGAGAACACAATATGGTCCGTGTTGCTCGAGATATACCTAGACTTAAGTTTGATTGACTTTATTGATTCCATTTTCTTATTTTGCACGGAGGGGGTTTGGTACATTGAAGCCAATTCCTTGCGGTGCGATATGAGGCGTCTTGTTGGGGATGTTCCACGTAATACATGCATGCAAGATTGATGTATCCTGGGATAGATTAAATCGCTTTGGCCGTTTGAGTTGATAACAATTTGTTGAAAGAGGTTTAGCTGACTGATCTAATGACGGTGTAGGAAACTGCATGGATTTTTCAGTGAAATAGCGAGCTTCTACTGATTTCTATAATTCCGAAAGCCATTAAACCTGTGTTTTGGTTTCTCAGGTTCCTTTGGAGGGTTTTAAAGCATTGCAAGGCATTTCTGGTCCCCAAAGGTTTCAGATTCACAAGGCATATGGAGCTCCTGAGCGCCTGCCATCGGCTCATACCTGGTCAGTGCTTAGATTAATTGATATAAGCGGTGATATGTTACATGGACTTGGGTGCTTTGTGTCGGGTATAGGTACATGTCTAGACGTCGGACCTTCTTCAACACAAAATCTTAGCATAATGGGATTCATTCGAAAAGTGATCAAAGATTGGGGTAGGGGTAAGGCGATACATTGGGAACAAGTGACACTCTATGTCAATGTTTTATGCAAGTTAAAATTACTGTGACGATATTGTTGAATGACGTGGGAGTTAATGATAATTATGACNGTGACACTCTATGTCAATGTTTAATGCAAGTTAAAATTACTGTGACGATATTGTTGAATGACGTGGGAGTTAATGATAATTATGACCGCTCAAAAATATCAGACAGTCAGTGAGGGATTGTTCAAGCCTGTGTCCTCTCCTCTTCGATTTGTTCTACTGAACCTGGAGAAACAGGTCCCTTACCCTCATCCCTCCCCTGCAACTATATTTAAATAAGCATCTATTCAAATCCATACACATGAGGCCATTACAAATTTTGGAGAGTAGAGCTTTGCACTTCATTGGATGTTAGGCCTAGTTACCGAGATAGCGTGCTTAGCTATATCCGAGTGCCATGTCCAACTCAGATCCCATGCCCGTGTCATTACGTCTTGTGACGTGTTGACATGGCCCACATGTAACCAGACTAGTCCATGTAACATAGATGCAGTGTTAAGACTTAAGACCATATCTATACTTCATTTCTTGCAGCAAAATGATTGATTACAAGTTATTTTATGTTGGGTTTTTCCAGCTTTAACCAACTAGACCTTCCCGAGTATACTTCCAAGGATCAGCTTCAAGAGCGCTTGCTACTCGCCATCCATGAAGCTAGTGAAGGATTTGGCTTTGGTTGAGATAAACTTCTCTATGATGCATGTGACCCCAGCATTGCAGGCATTCAATCCTGTGATGAATGCCATGTAAATGTTAGGTTTTCTCCTCTCCTTTGAAATTAAATTATTTGAATTATGTTGGGTGTTTTACAATTGTTTTATTATCAGTTGTTAGAGCATAAACTTCTATAAAGGCTTTCTTCTCTCACATCTAATGTCAAGAAATTTTTATCCATTTGGTTATTAATTCTATTTAGAAACGTGTGTAGGTTTTGAACAATGTCAATGGGATAGCATGCAATCCATCAGGAAGTATAGTCGCATCCACTTGTTTGCTATATGTGTTCCTTGTCTTTGTATGCCTCTGGATTCAAAACAAAAAGAAATAATTATTTAAATTTGCAATGAATAATGGCACCTGTAAACTTATTAATTTGAATGGTATCTCCTTTCCAATCTCTTGAAGGGGTGGGGTGGGTTCAAGACCAAGTTGGGACAAGGCTACATGCAAAGTGTTGAAATACAAGACTAAAGCAATAAAAATTATGTTTGTGTATGTATGTATCTATGTATATACATGGACAACTGAGTCACATACCTCTTGCCTTGTGGAGGTCGATTTTAAAGAATACAGTAGAATATCTAACTAGACATGGGCCTACAACATATCAGAACGATGATGCGAAAAAAGCTTTGAAGAACATAGAATAATAGACGAGAAAGCTTTGAATTTCGCAGAAAGAACTATATTTTGGGCTTGCCCTAGCTTTTCAGTAATGTAGTCGTGTCTTGTGCTGAAATTTTGTGCTTCCTCTAAATTGTTTAATTGTTTTTGCTATGTTATGTTATAATGTATTTCTGGTACTTGTGATTAGATATATAAATTGGGATGTAGCTGTGGAACCCTAACTCACTACTCTCTTTTTATATCTTGTCTCTTTTCCTCTTATTCTTCTCTTCTATCCCTCTAAACCCCAAGTACTTCATAATCTAACTGTTTGATTGGCACACAGAAGTGGTCATTTTTTCTTAATATTACCTCTATTGTTACCCCCCCCCCCCGGGGTCTTCTTTCAGTGTGTGTATGGTGATATTTGAAAGCCACTCCCTCTCCCCCTCCCCCCCCAAAAAAAAAAAAAAAAACAAGTTTCCCATCTTCGCATTATAGTTCTTGAATTCACATATCTTTCTACTAGGAGAAATGCCAAATATCTTTCTATTATGAGAAATGCCTTCTTTGGCATTTGTTTTCTCCATTACCATCATCAAGGGGCAAGCATTTCGTAAGTCAGTTGCCATACGAGTATTCAATGGTTTGTGTGTAACTTTATCATGTTTGCTTGCAATAGTTATTTTGTTAAGCGAGCTCAAGGAGCATTCAAGATGGTGGAAATTTACATGTATGGGCTCGTGTGTGATTGTAGTTTTGATGAGTTAATACGTGCAACTCATACCTGCTGAACTCATGATCTTTGCTGTCCAGTCATAGGTTTTTATGTGCTGATAGGGCAATATAACCTGTAGCTTGATCGAAGTGTTGCAAAAGTGGATGCAGAATTTGAAGTAGCTTTGATGAGTTAGTTTTAGGTGTGATGGTGAATGCAATGTGTGTGTCTGCATGGAACGAGTTTACTAGTTAGACTTTTTGGAAAAAATATTTATTTGTATATCTGCTTTTGCAGATAAACCGAGGCTGATCCAAGGCATTTGTTACCATAAGTAGAGTGGCCATTGTCTGAAGATGATGATTTGTACCGGACTTTTAACATGCATGGATCTCCTACAACCCAATCTCGTAAGCAGCTGATAGGATTTATGCTTTCATCTTTGATTAATGGTGGGCTTCGCAATCTCGGTGGCAAGAAACGGTGTTCTTTTTTTGTTTCTTGCAATGTCTACAGATTCAGTGGAAATTAGATTATCTGTAAAGAAAATCTGTCACCTTCTGTATATCATAGTTTTGCTCCTTTAATATTCATTGTCGACTACTGTTGGCCAATTGGCCTTTGATAGGTAATCTAATGCTCAAAACTTCATATTAATGTTGATAATCATGCTTTTTCCTCTACTGCTGCTACTTTCATTCTTTTTTCTTAGTGGCTCTGTAGCATTATGGTGCAATTCTGGGGATTGCCTGATTGAAAACTGTGTTTATGACCATCATCTTGAGTACGCGTCAGTCTAGTGCCCTTTATTTCTTCACAGTGCCATAAATTGTGTACGGAGTCGGATTTAGCTTGGTTTATTACATACGAATATGTTTCCTTGTGGATGAATTTCATTTGGTAATATTTTGTGTGTTTTAAGTTGCATTTAGGTTTGATATCTTTTCCATCATTTTTGTACATTCACTACTTTCTATGAAGTTCGGCAGAATTTGAATCCATTCATCCCCTTGCCTCTATCCATCCATGATGAGAAAAAAATGGAGGAGAGAAATAGCATGGACTGAAGTACGACATCATTCCACTGTTTCTGTTCGACGTAAACGATGGAGGAGCCAGCAAAACGTTAACGTTTAACAGCAATTTTACTGGAAAAATGCCCCTTTTGTAGTCTCCCTTGACATCATTATTGTTCTTGTTCGTAAAGGATCTGCTTGAGATGATTGTAAGGAGCTTCAAACTACTGAGTGGGATACCGGCTGAATTTCTCATTAAGATGTTGGAGTTTCGAGTCTTGGAGTTTATTTTGGGGCTTAATGGTTGATCACTATGCTAGTTTAGTTAGTTTTGTTCCTAAGAGGGGTAGCGAGCGTGGTTAGGAACCTCATAATTTCATTAGTGAAGACTTATCAGTGTGGTCTTTGAGCGTTTTTCTTTAGCTCCCATTTTATTTTTCGGCCCAAAAAAAATTAAATAAGGGAGTTTTAAAATCTTATTCAAGCTTAGAGAATCTCCAAAAGTGATATCTATTTTGGACAACATCTTGTTAAATGAGATATATTTATTCTAAATGTTTTGAATGAAAAAATAAAAATATTTTTTTTTGTTCCAAAAAATTAGAGTTGAGAGTTCAATTCATTTAGATTAAAGAAATCTAACTAGAACTTAAACTTCAATTTAGGCTTGTGTTAGGACAAAATTGAAAAAATTTTGTTTGAGTTCAACTCATTTATTAATTAGAGAAGTTTTAAAATTTTAGCTTAAGTTAGGGGTGTAACTTGGGCGGGCCAACCCGAATTTACACCAAACCTAACTCGAAAAAAACAGAGTTTGAGTTATAATTTTTAATACTTGGGTTGGACCTGGACAAAAAAAGCCCCAACTTGAATTGTATTTGGGTAAGCTTCGGGTTAAAACCTAAGGTTGTTGAGTTCAACTCGAATATACATAAATATATACATATATTTAACTTGAGTAATATTTATTTTCACTCTTTAGAGTTCAGACTTTTACTTCACCTCAAGTTTTTACCCCTATGTCTCAATCACTCTTAGATCCCTCTCTCACTCGTTATTTTTCTTTCTCTTAGCTTCCCTCTCTTAATCGTCACTCATTTGAATCGTTTCAGACTCTTAGCCTCCCTTTTTCATTTGTCACTCCTCCCTTTCGCTTCATCTGCGCCTCGCCTTTCATTTCAGATCACTTGAAAAAAAATCAGATCTACACTTAAAAAAATTAAATATACATTTCAAAAAATTAACTCGAATTAAATAACTCAAGTTTAACCCGAAAATCAGTTCGAATTAAGTAATCCAAATTCAACCTGAATCCGCTTGAATTAAACTCAGCTAATATTCTAGTTGAGTATCTCGAATTGAGTTAAGGTTGGAAATTATATACTTAGAGTTTTCAATTTGTCCGAGTTGCACCACTCAGCTTCCGCTTGATTTATTTAAAAAAAAAATCTTGAAACGACACCGTTTGAGAAAATTGAGCACACTCAAGGATCACCCCCCCCCCCCCCCCCCCCCCCCCCCCCCCCCCCCCCCCCCCCCCCCCCCCCCCCCCCCCCCCCCCCCCCCCCCCCCCCCCCCCCCCCCCCCCCCCCCCCCCCCCCCCCCCCCCCCCCCCCCCCCCCCCCCCCCCCCCCCCCCCCCCCCCCCCCCCCCCCCCCCCCCCCCCCCCCCCCCCCCCCCCCCCCCCCCCCCCCCCCCCCCCCCCCCCCCCCCCCCCCCCCCCCCCCCCCCCCCCCCCCCCCCCCCCCCCCCCCCCCCCCCCCCCCCCCCCCCCCCCCCCCCCCCCCCCCCCCCCCCCCCCCCCCCCCCCCCCCCCCCCCCCCCCCCCCCCCCCCCCCCCCCCCCCCCCCCCCCCCCCCCCCCCCCCCCCCCCCCCCCCCCCCCCCCCCCCCCCCCCCCCCCCCCCCCCCCCCCCCCCCCCCCCCCCCCNAGGACCCCCCCCCCCCCCCCCCCAAACGGCATGGCAGCTCTCCAATATTCCGCCAAATTGCAATCGTCAAACCCTTCCTCTTCATTCCCTGTCTCCGTCTGCCAGGCTCCATATGAGAGTCTATGCACTCTCACTCTCTTGCCCAACCATTTCTCTATCTCCCTCTCGTAACGGGTGTTGAAGCCCCAAGATTTCTCTCTCTGTATCTCTTCAAGCTTCACGATTTCCTTCGAGGGTTGAGAAGTATTTCAGCAATACTTGTTTCAGTTGAATTTCTGCCCAATTCATCATCTTTTTTTTTTTTAGGAATACTTTATCTTTGAAATTTTGGATTTGACCTATGCATACGTGGGTAACGGGTTTGTTGCACAAGCTGGTGCTATCGATGGGTAATGGATATATTGGGGGCACTTGTAAGTTTTTGGCATGTAGCCACTTGTTGAAGCATTTGTGAGGATTTGTAGCGCTTTGTGAATTGTTGGCATGGAGGTAATGGGTTCCAGCTTCTCTCTGTTGTTTTCATTGCACAGGGGGTTCGACAAAGTTGGGGAGAGATAGAAGCACAGTAATTTCGCGGGAAAAAAATGAGAGTAAACTCTGTAAAGGTTTGAACATCTAATTTTAGGGGAGATATATATACTTACTACCACAAAACTGTGCCGTTTAGCTGTTTAGGGAGATGTTTATGTGTGCTCAGTTAGTGTTTTATGTGCAAAACGGTGTCGCATAGCTTTGCAGCACGGAGTGCTGTTACCTCCCAACAGCAGAGGTGCCGGACCCGAAGAAAGGAAAGAGTTACTGTTACATCAGTAATGTCTTTGTGCTCAAGTTCTTCAACAGCCAAAAGAATTTATCTTTCTCCGCTCAATATATCAAGGTTTAGAACTTTTTCCCACATGGGGGTTTCTAAAGATGTCAGAGAAAGATTGAGAGGCGATTGTAAAAGCAGAGCTTCCATCAAAACACAAACAACTGGTACGCTTCTATCTCTGCACAAACAATCACTCCCTCTCTATATAGAAATAAGTATATTTTAATGAAACACAAGAAATTTGTATGCTTTTTCCACCCTCTCTCTAAGAAGTTTTGAACTTGTGGGAACAGGTTCAGAAATGGAGAAAAGTATCTATACAATTCTTACCATTGACCGTTGGGAATCACTGAACCACATGGAATATAGATTGGCTTCACTAAGGCCAGTTCATGGAAGGCTAGCTTTGAAATTCCTCAATTGGGTCATCAAGCAACCTGGTTTGGACCTCAGTTATATTACTCATATGTACTGTATCACAACCCATATATTGGTTAGAGCTAGAATGTATGACTCGGCCAAGTCAATTTTGAAACATTTATCTCAGATGGGTATCGGGTCTCATTCTGTTTTTTCTTCTCTCATGGACACATATGCTCTTTGCAATTCAAACCCTGCAGTTTTTGACCTTCTAATTAGGGTTTACATGCGAAATGGGATGGTTGAAGATGCTGTAGAGACATTCCATTTGATGGGTTTTCGGGGTTTTAAGCCGTCTGTTTATACTTGCAATATGCTGCTAGCAACAATGGGGAAGATCTGGTGCATAAGATTTCTGTGGTCACTTTTTAGGGAAATGCTTTCAAAAAATATTTGCCCTAATGTTTGTACATTTAATATATTGTTGCATTTTCTTTGTACGAGTGGCAAGCTAAAGAAAGCCGGTCATCTCCTTAAGAGGATGGAGAAGAGTGGTTATGTTCCGACAGTAGTTTCTTACAACACTTTACTGAATTGGTATTGCAAGAAGGGAAGGTACAAAGCGGCTTTTGAACTGATTGATCGAATGGGTTGTAAGGGTCTTAAGGCAGATGTCTGTACATATAACATGTTAATAGATGATTTGTGTAGAAATAACAGCAGTGCCAAAGGTTATTTATTGTTGAAGAAGATGAGGAAGATGATGGTATTTCCAAATGAAATCACCTATAATACTCTCATAAATGGTTTTATTAGAGAGGGAAAGATTGCGGTCGCTACTAAGATTTTTGATCAGATGTCAAAGTTTAATCTTTCACCAAACTGTATCAGTTACAATGCTTTGATAGATGGACATTGTCAGGAAGGCAAATTTGAAGAAGCTTTCAAAATTCTGGAGAAAATGGAAGAAAGGGGATTAAGGCCAAATGAAGTTAGTTATGGGACTCTTTTGAATGGCTTATGCAGGCATGACAAACTAGATTCAGCAAGAATTCTTTTTGAGAGGATTAGAATGTATGGTATCGTTATTGGTCGTATTACCTATACAACACTGATTGATGGGCTACTCAAAAAGGGAATGCTCGAAGAAGGTGTGCATCTGCTTGATAAAATGTTCAAGGATGGTGTGAGTCCGGATGTTATCACATATTCGGTTCTTATAAATGGATTTTGCAGAGCAGGAAAGATAGACAATGTGAAAGAGATAATATGCAAGATGTGTAGGTTTGGCCTTGAACCAAACAATATCATGTGGTCTACGTTAATATATAACTCTTGCAAGCAGGGAAATGTTAATGAAGCATTGAAATTGTATGCGGTGATGAATTTGAATTGTTATGGTGCGGATATTTTCACATGCAACACAATAGTAGCTTCTTTTTGTAGAACTGGAAAGGTAAGGGAGGCTGAGAAGTTCATGCATCACATGAATAGGATCGGCCCCGTTCCTAATTGCATTACTTTAGACACTGTTATAAATGGCTATGGAGAAGTAGGCAACGGGTTGAAAGCCTTTTCCTTGTTTGATGAAATGATTAAGATGGGTCACCACCCTAGTCATTACACATATGGGAGTTTACTGAAAGGACTATGCCAAGGAGGACATTTTGAAGAGGCTGTAAAATTCTTGAGTAAACTCCATTACATCCCTTGCTGTGTGGATGTTGTTGTCTACAACACATTGCTGGCTGAGGCCTGTAAATCAGGGAATTTGCAAGTGGCAATAATCCTTTTGGATGAGATGATCTCCAATAACGTGCTCCCTGATAGGTACACATATGCGAATCTTCTTGCTGGATTATGTAGAAAGGGCAAGATGGTTGCTGCAATGCTACTGTTTGAAAAAGCAATGGAAAGATCATTCTCTCCGAACCATGTTATGTATACATGCTTGATCGATGGGCTTTTCAAAGCAGGCCAGCCAAAGGCTGCTGCTTATTTTTATGAAGAGATGCTAAAGAAAGGTATCAACCCTGATACAGTTGTATTAAATGCAATTATAGATGGCTATTCCAGAATAGGGTGCATAGAAAAGGTGAACAATTACTTTTCTACGATGAAAGGTGGAAGTTTATGCCCTTGTTTGGCTACATATAATATTCTCCTACGTGGCTATTCAAAACAACAGGATATACCAAGATGCTTTGCAATATACAATACCATTATTAGGAAAGGTTTTGTTCCGAATGAATTGACATGCCATTCTCTAATTCATGGGCTTTGCAAGTCAGGTGTGCTGGACATTGCTGTGAAAATTTTGAGAAACATGGTTATGGAAGGTACAGCGGTTGATAAGCGTACTTTTGACATGCTAATCACCAAATGCAGCAGCAATGGTGAGATGGGAAAGGCCTTTGATCTCTTAAATACTATGAATTCTCTTGGAATTTTGCCCGATGGAGACACTTACNTTATTGTTGAAGAAGATGAGGAAGATGATGATATTTCCAAATGAAATCACCTATAATACTCTCATAAATGGTTTTATTAGAGAGGGAAAGATTGCGGTCGCTACTAAGATTTTTGATCAGATGTCAAAGTTTAATCTTTCACCAAACTGTATCAGTTACAATGCTTTGATAGATGGACATTGTCAGGAAGGCAAATTTGAAGAAGCTTTCAAAATTCTGGAGAAAATGGAAGAAAGGGGATTAAGGCCAAATGAAGTTAGTTATGGGACTCTTTTGAATGGCTTATGCAGGCATGACAAACTAGATTCAGCAAGAATTCTTTTTGAGAGGATTAGAATGTATGGTATCGTTATTGGTCGTATTACCTATACAACACTGATTGATGGGCTACTCAAAAAGGGAATGCTCGAAGAAGGTGTGCATCTGCTTGATAAAATGTTCAAGGATGGTGTGAGTCCGGATGTTATCACATATTCGGTTCTTATAAATGGATTTTGCAGAGCAGGAAAGATAGACAATGTGAAAGAGATAATATGCAAGATGTGTAGGTTTGGCCTTGAACCAAACAATATCATGTGGTCTACGTTAATATATAACTCTTGCAAGCAGGGAAATGTTAATGAAGCATTGAAATTGTATGCGGTGATGAATTTGAATTGTTATGGTGCGGATATTTTCACATGCAACACAATAGTAGCTTCTTTTTGTAGAACTGGAAAGGTAAGGGAGGCTGAGAAGTTCATGCATCACATGAATAGGATCGGCCCCGTTCCTAATTGCATTACTTTAGACACTGTTATAAATGGCTATGGAGAAGTAGGCAACGGGTTGAAAGCCTTTTCCTTGTTTGATGAAATGATTAAGATGGGTCACCACCCTAGTCATTACACATATGGGAGTTTACTGAAAGGACTATGCCAAGGAGGACATTTTGAAGAGGCTGTAAAATTCTTGAGTAAACTCCATTACATCCCTTGCTGTGTGGATGTTGTTGTCTACAACACATTGCTGGCTGAGGCCTGTAAATCAGGGAATTTGCAAGTGGCAATAATCCTTTTGGATGAGATGATCTCCAATAACGTGCTCCCTGATAGGTACACATATGCGAATCTTCTTGCTGGATTATGTAGAAAGGGCAAGATGGTTGCTGCAATGCTACTGTTTGAAAAAGCAATGGAAAGATCATTCTCTCCGAACCATGTTATGTATACATGCTTGATCGATGGGCTTTTCAAAGCAGGCCAGCCAAAGGCTGCTGCTTATTTTTATGAAGAGATGCTAAAGAAAGGTATCAACCCTGATACAGTTGTATTAAATGCAATTATAGATGGCTATTCCAGAATAGGGTGCATAGAAAAGGTGAACAATTACTTTTCTACGATGAAAGGTGGAAGTTTATGCCCTTGTTTGGCTACATATAATATTCTCCTACGTGGCTATTCAAAACAACAGGATATACCAAGATGCTTTGCAATATACAATACCATTATTAGGAAAGGTTTTGTTCCGAATGAATTGACATGCCATTCTCTAATTCATGGGCTTTGCAAGTCAGGTGTGCTGGACATTGCTGTGAAAATTTTGAGAAACATGGTTATGGAAGGTACAGCGGTTGATAAGCGTACTTTTGACATGCTAATCACCAAATGCAGCAGCAATGGTGAGATGGGAAAGGCCTTTGATCTCTTAAATACTATGAATTCTCTTGGAATTTTGCCCGATGGAGACACTTACAGTTCCATACTTAAAGGAATTAACAGGACATATGACTTTCAAGTATCTCTCACTTTTCTGCATGAAATGTTGGAGAAGGGTTTTATACCTACTAATAGGCAATATGTTACTTTAATTACTGGTATGTGCAGAGTGGGAGATATACAAGGAGCATTCAAACTAAAAGATGAAATGGAGGCTCTCGGAATTGGCTCCCGAAATGTGGCTGACAGTGCTATGATTAGAGGGCTTGTGCGGTGTGGGAAAATGNATGCAGGCATGACAAACTAGATTCAGCAAGAATTCTTTTTGAGAGGATTAGAATGTATGGTATCGTTATTGGTCGTATTACCTATACAACACTGATTGATGGGCTACTCAAAAAGGGAATGCTCGAAGAAGGTGTGCATCTGCTTGATAAAATGTTCAAGGATGGTGTGAGTCCGGATGTTATCACATATTCGGTTCTTATAAATGGATTTTGCAGAGCAGGAAAGATAGACAATGTGAAAGAGATAATATGCAAGATGTGTAGGTTTGGCCTTGAACCAAACAATATCATGTGGTCTACGTTAATATATAACTCTTGCAAGCAGGGAAATGTTAATGAAGCATTGAAATTGTATGCGGTGATGAATTTGAATTGTTATGGTGCGGATATTTTCACATGCAACACAATAGTAGCTTCTTTTTGTAGAACTGGAAAGGTAAGGGAGGCTGAGAAGTTCATGCATCACATGAATAGGATCGGCCCCGTTCCTAATTGCATTACTTTAGACACTGTTATAAATGGCTATGGAGAAGTAGGCAACGGGTTGAAAGCCTTTTCCTTGTTTGATGAAATGATTAAGATGGGTCACCACCCTAGTCATTACACATATGGGAGTTTACTGAAAGGACTATGCCAAGGAGGACATTTTGAAGAGGCTGTAAAATTCTTGAGTAAACTCCATTACATCCCTTGCTGTGTGGATGTTGTTGTCTACAACACATTGCTGGCTGAGGCCTGTAAATCAGGGAATTTGCAAGTGGCAATAATCCTTTTGGATGAGATGATCTCGAATAACGTGCTCCCTGATAGGTACACATATGCGAATCTTCTTGCTGGATTATGTAGAAAGGGCAAGATGGTTGCTGCAATGCTACTGTTTGAAAAAGCAATGGAAAGATCATTCTCTCCGAACCATGTTATGTATACATGCTTGATCGATGGGCTTTTCAAAGCAGGCCAGCCAAAGGCTGCTGCTTATTTTTATGAAGAGATGCTAAAGAAAGGTATCAACCCTGATACAGTTGTATTAAATGCAATTATAGATGGCTATTCCAGAATAGGGTGCATAGAAAAGGTGAACAATTACTTTTCTACGATGAAAGGTGGAAGTTTATGCCCTTGTTTGGCTACATATAATATTCTCCTACGTGGCTATTCAAAACAACAGGATATACCAAGATGCTTTGCAATATACAATACCATTATTAGGAAAGGTTTTGTTCCGAATGAATTGACATGCCATTCTCTAATTCATGGGCTTTGCAAGTCAGGTGTGCTGGACATTGCTGTGAAAATTTTGAGAAACATGGTTATGGAAGGTACAGCGGTTGATAAGCGTACTTTTGACATGCTAATCACCAAATGCAGCAGCAATGGTGAGATGGGAAAGGCCTTTGATCTCTTAAATACTATGAATTCTCTTGGAATTTTGCCCGATGGAGACACTTACAGTTCCATACTTAAAGGAATTAACAGGACATATGACTTTCAAGTATCTCTCACTTTTCTGCATGAAATGTTGGAGAAGGGTTTTATACCTACTAATAGGCAATATGTTACTTTAATTACTGGTATGTGCAGAGTGGGAGATATACAAGGAGCATTCAAACTAAAAGATGAAATGGAGGCTCTCGGAATTGGCTCCCGAAATGTGGCTGACAGTGCTATGATTAGAGGGCTTGTGCGGTGTGGGAAAATGGAAGAAGCAATGCTGATTCTTGATTGCATGCTTAGGGTGCAGCTTGTTCCAACTATCGCCACTTTCACAACTCTGATGCATAAGTTCTGCAAAGAATTTAACCTGATGGAGGCTGTAAAACTAAAAAATATAATGGAGTTTCATGGTGTAAATCTTGATGTTGTTGCTTACAATGTTCTCATTACTGGCCTTTGTGCTAGTGGTGATATTGTACATGCATTTGATCTATATGAGGAGATAAAACAAAGGGACCTCTGCCCGAATACCACCACGTTTACTGTTCTTACTGATGCTCTCTTGACCAAGAACAATATTGTGAAGGGTGAAATGCTTTTGATGGATTTACAAGACAGGGGATTGATATCTCGAGATCAAAGCACCCAAGATTTGCACAAAGGTTTGATGGTTGCTAGGGAGAAGTTAAATTTATTGAGGCACCAAAGGATGAGAAATAGAGCAAAAAAGGTTTGAAAGTGGGGTTAGAATTTATGGACAAGGACAGGACCATTGTGGAGGCTTGCTAGCAAACGAGGTTGTGATGGGAATTTCTTTACCTAACCGATTGGGATGCAATATGAGGTCTGTAACAGCTTGACTCTTATACTTTTTGGTTGTTTGTAAGGAATATGTGTTCTAAACTATGCGTTTTCTTTTCTAGTTTTTTATTTCTCATGCATGGTATCATGGACAGCACGCCTCTTTATGGATTGGTGGGGAGCAGATTTTAGGCTTTCAGCTGCTAAAGTTGGGAAGCCTTCCGACACTAAGTACATCAAGATTTATGGTTTCCCCGCTGACTTTCACTAGTGCCAATACGAGCCGTGATATGTGCCATGTAAGTACACTTGTTTTTGCTGATTCTGGAACTAGGGTGATGGAGGTGTGTCTCATATTTGTCAACATGCAATTAAAAGTGGCTTACCTACATGATAGTTAGAATGATACAAATTATCTCTTCCCCAAGATTTGAAGAATTAATCTTCACTCCAATAACCAAACTTGTTTGGGCACCCAATGACTTCTTGATATATGCCCATTGATATCAAGGATTGGAAGAGAGTAATCCATGGTCCCCTCCCAGTGGGTTACTTGACAGTATTTATATATGTTTGTGCCAGAAATTTCTTTAAATATTCTTGAAAAGGTTTTTTAATTTAAATGCTACATCTTTATTGCTTCCTTCCCTTCTCCCAATCAATAGTTTTTGAGGAAACTGAGGTTTAGAGAACCCAGATAACTTAAAAAGCATGAAACTGAAACTACTGTTAGACTAGCCAAAGGAGGAGGGATCGTGCACTTTGGCTAGGTAGATGATAAGGAGTAAGGACTTACCACAATGTTGATGATTGGACAAGTAGAAAGGTGGTCTTAAGTTTTAATTCTTGCTTAGTTTTCAGTCATGCACGGTTCCACTCTTGATTTCCAAGCAATTTTATTTTGTTGACTTTCCAGATTTGCCATTACACAACAATGCTATTGACAGTGGGTTTTACCTTTTTTTAGAGTTGTTATTGTGGGTCTGGTATAGGTAGAAAGCAAGAGAATAGAATCTTTTAAATTACCCAGATGTCAAAGGTGCCAATTCTAGACTTGATAGTGATAGGCAGGTTTATGCTGTCCCTGCTATTAAACCAGGGGTGGCTGTATGAATGCTTGTACTCTGATTCTTGTTTGGATCCTTTTTTTATTTATTTTTATGTCACTTCATTGTATGCAGGAGGAAATCCAGAAAAAAACTGGATATATTTTAATGCGGGCAGAGGGAATTTATGATGTGGATGCTAATACATCAATTGATCAGCTTTCTGAAGATCTCAGATTCTCAATATCAAAATACTGGAGGTAATTCATTTTTCCCTTTGTTTTAATGAGTTGGTTGTTGATCTGGAGGATTGAAGATTGGTGCACTGCATTACTTCATGCTCATGCTCATTTTTTATGTTAGTTTATGTGTGTGCTGAGACTCATTGAAAATTGGTGAACCAATCTGAGTTTTTATGTTTGGAAACTCAAAATTTTCTTGAACATCTGTCTCTCTAAACCAAGAAATAACTAATAGTCTGTGATTTGCACTAGAAACATAAAAAGAAAAACCTTACGCACAGTTCTAGTGGATACGTAGGCAATTACAGAAAGCCCTAAAGATCTTATGCCACTTTGCATTGATGCAAAGTCAATGCGCTAACTCCTCCATCTCCTTACCCATTGGAATGATATATTGAGTCTCCAAGACCTGCTAATCAAGTGTGTCCAGAGAATTCCATTATTCCTTTACCTCCATCTAAGTGAAGAAACAAGTAAAATTCACACTTGTTTCTTTTGTTCTATTTTTTTCCTCTGTTATTTTTTTTTTTTCACTGATGTAATCTATTATCCTTTTTTAGATTGCATTTTTTTTTTACCAAAAAAGGTGTTAACCTGGGGTATCCCCCTCCCTCTTCTCTCTCACTGGTTTTTAGCAAGTTTCAGCTAGGTGGGCATCAATGGTTTATACTTATTCACATTTTCCTTTTTCCCTTCTTCAAAGTCATCAGTACAAGACAGTGTCGGGCTTCATCTGTGAGGCATTTGGATATATCCCAAAGACGGGTAAGACCATAAACGTGGTACTTGAAAAGGAGAATTAGGGAGAACACAATGATGTGGCGAAAGCCTCCTCACTCATGTCCTTATCGTAGACCTCAATCAAAGACTGAAGAGGGAAAAAACGGTTCTTGGCCGAACAAATTTCCCTTTAGGCTTGTTTCCACCTGCAGCCAGAAAATTTACTCTAGTTGCATGTTAGTCCAAGTAGCAAGTTTCACAATTTTCTTCTTGATTCGCCCTACCTAGGGGCTTTAAAGTGCAAGGAATATGTCAAGAGCTGAACTTAGTGTGGAAGGTTTTATATTTTGTCTATATATTATTCTCTCAGGCACTATAAAGTTATCGTTGTAATTATATCTATAAAAATATCACTCTTGTAATAATAGAAGCCTCAACAAGGCAATTGATTAGGAAGCAGTTGGTGGAGTCAGAAACTATAAGTTGTCTTGCAACCAGTTCCTTTTCTTGGACAAACTTATGTAGGTATGAAAAGTATATTAAAAGAAGGGAGGGAAAGCTAATAGCAGCAAGGAGAAGGGCCGGCTGGAGTAGTGAGATGCATGTCAATCATGATACACTTTGTGATTGCCATTATTGAGTGAATATGTATTTATTTGAACAGTCATGGGGACAAAAGGTGCATTTAAAGATCATGCTTTCATTGAGGAGAGTATGGTGTGTGCTTAAAATTTAATGTAATCCTAGGTATTCTAAGGAGCTTTGCATTGGTCAGAGTCGTGAAATAATTTGTGTGATCTACATAACCCAATATTCTGTCACAACTTAATGACAGGAAAATATTTTCTTCATTAGCAGCCACCTGATGGATGTGTTATATTATTATCTGTGTTGCAGATATTAGCTGGTAATGTCCGAAAGGTGAGTGTTGTTTGATTTATAAGGGTACACCAAGATGATGCAATGGTGTCCAAAGATGTGATACGCTTGGTTCCCAAGATCATGAAAAGAAAATGGACGAGCGATGACGAGACTAACCACGATGAGGTCCCATACCAGGAGCAGGAAGAGGATGATGGTGTTTCTGATAATTCTGTAATTTTCAAACATGACAACATTGATGACAATCTTAATACACTACAGTTAAATTACACATATGCTCTTCTCGTTCTTACACCACCATAAAGAGTTAAATGGAAATAAACGAAAACGACATGCCAAATTTTTCACAGATGAAGGGAAGTGTCAACATATGAGTTATCAAAGTTATTTGATCTGTACAAGACTGTATGACTAAACCATAAGTTTTCTGAAATGGGTGTCCCAGTGACCTGAAGATCAGTATTGCTGCTCTATAAGTTATGTTGCAAGGAGGGAGGGTCTTGAAGAGGGGGCCTTGGTGGAAGGATTAACTCACAGTGAAAGAACAACCTGGAGGGATTGTAGCGATTGGTTGGATTGACTTGTTTGGAATCAGAGAGCATTCTCTGGTACTCTATCCTCTCGCATTTTTTTAGCTCTCTGCAATTGCTTGAACCACTCCTGCAGCAGAGCAATGGAGGAATGCATGATAATGGGGTTGTTGCTCTGCCTTTTCATCACAGGACGAAATGTTTGTATGTGTTGAGCCGTCTGATGTGTTTTAAATGAAGTAAAGGAGAGATGAAAATCGACAGCTGATATGCAATGTCTAAGAAAGTAAAGTTACGGGGCCCTAATTTTTGGTGTATGGTTTGGTGGAGATACGAAGAGAGGCAAAGGAAGTTCAAAAAGGGTGGGAAAGAAACTCCAAAGGGGAGGTGGACGTTAGTGTTTGGAAAGGCTTCTTTAGTGGAATAAATAGATGTGTGATTCACTTTCGGCTTGCCCAAAGAACCGTTGGGCTTTGGAGAAGATGGTGCATTTTTTGGTGGGTATGTTTTGGAGGGATTTGTTTATTTTTTAACCTTTGAAACATCCCTCAAATTTCGTTTGTGGAGAACATAAGAAACAGAGAAATGTAGGAATGTGTAGACAAGAAAAACGGTTTTGGAGGTTTGATGTTTGTTCTTGTTTGAAAGCTTGCATAGAGATCAAAGAAAAGGAATCTACCAAAAGATACCTCTTGTCTCCCATCTCTATGTCTCTTTCCTTTTTAGTGGTTCTTCAGTCGGGTGTTGGATGCACTGTATGCTTTTTCTTATTTGAGATTGTGATGGCAAAATAAAATAACTTGTATAATAAAGATTTAAATTGAATTCAGAGATTTGAGATGTGCTCATTTGCCCAAAAGATATGAAATAGGTTAAGAATTCAAAAATTAGCCTCTAATATTGAGAAAATAAGATTATTTAACATTTTATCTCTTTTAATTCTGTTATAAGTGAAAGTTCTATACATTGGGTATACCTTATGTAGTGATAATAAACGACCAAGAAAATTAAACTTGGGCCTCATGCATATGAATTTTAACTATTATTTTGATATGAGAGTGTTTGGAGAGTATCATTCATACCATAGCCTCGGTGGAACTTTCAACTAGTTTTGCTCCATTCTCAGAAGGAGGTGACAAGCAAAAGTTTAAATCCTTGGTCTCTATTTCTCCCCAATTGTGCAAATATTATTGGTCATATTCATCAAGAGATCGCGCATGGAAAAAATTGGAATATGAAGAAAAGAAACATATCAAAATAATTGAGGAGACTCAATTACTTGTGGTGCTTTTAAATCTATAAGATACATGATCAAATGATATAATATGCAAGAAATTGAAGGAATCACATATTAAAAAAGATCTCTATGAAAGAAATTCTAAAATGAGCACTATAAAAGAAATTTGAAGAATCATCATATATCGAAATAAATTTAAATTCAAATCTAATCTAAGTAAGGGTGTCAATTTGTGTTGCGTCGTGTCATTAACATACTATTTTCGAGATATGTAATTCATGTTATGTTCATGTTAGTATTCATGAAAAAAAAAATATATTTGATAAGTGTCAAGCTTTAATTCAACTCATTTATTGTGTGTGTTTATCAATCGTATCATATTGAGTTCGTTTCGATGAGTGAGATTGACACCCCTAAATCTGAGTACTGACTATAAATCTATCAAAGTAACTATGTCTTGGCAAACGAGTTGGACTGATCCATGATTTGTCCACCCATAGCCCATGCCATGAATAGACCTTGATGGGCTTTGACTAGTCAATGAGTTGGGCCAAACCCGCACGTTAAAATAATCTAAGGCTCACTGGTCTATTGGGTCAAAAGCGGGCTAAACAGAGACCGAATTTTATGCGTTGTTATTTGGGCCTAAAATGATTTTTTTTAAATAATATTTTACATAAAAATTACAAAAAAATAAATTCATAAAGTTGGATATGAAAAAGTAAATTGACAAATTATATCTAATGCTCCAACTCCTACTTATTCGAATTAACAAACTATAATAAAAAAAGAATTAGATAAAAAAAATGGGTTTCAAAGCTATTGAGAGAAATTTTAGGCATTCTTAGATAGAGTGATTGAATTGTTGTGAAAAAATAATGAAAGCCTTGATCATATTTATATTTAGGGAAAATTTCATTCACACTACCTTTAGTTAGGTTTAAATTCAATGACACTCCCTCTCGATTCTGAAACTTCAATACACTCCTTTATGATTTATACTTTCAAATCAAAGACACTCCCTCAACGATAACTTCTAACGATTTGATTATATATTTTATAAAAATGTCAAAACTACCATTTGTTATATAGATAGACTAAAATACCCTAAACTCTTTTCTCATTACATATAGGAAAAATTTTCATCTACAACCCTGTAGTTAGGTCTAAATTCAATGACATCCTATCCCGATTTTAAAACTTCACTACATATCTTTCTTGTTCTATTGCAATGAATGACACCCTCTTAGCAGTAAATTTGCTATTGTCAGTAGATAAAATAGTGATTTGACTAAATATTTTGTAAAAATGTCAAAATTATATTTTGTTGTGCAAATGGACTAAAATGCCCACAATCCTTCCTATTATATATGCCCTAGCCAACCAGTAAGCGTCATTTTTACCATTATATTATTCCAATTAATTTTTATCATTTTAAAGTGTTGCATGATAACTTTGTTATAATTTTAGTCATCATATTATCACTCATTTGGTTACATAATTGATTTTTTATAATTTTTATAGTTAAAAATAATTTTTTATAATAAAAATTACAACTGATAAAATCAATGTCAAAATCCCATCAATTTCTAACTCCTCTGCTATCGTTTGTCGTCCACAACGTCACCTAATCACTCTTGGCACATCACCCTTTATATATAAAATTTAAAATATTATTTGATAAAAATTTAATATTAATTGAATAAATTTGATCTTAATTTGATAAATTTAAATACTAATTTGGTATTAATTTCATAAAATTAATATTAATTCAATGTTGATTCGATAAACTTAATGTTAATTGAATAAATTTAAATTTTGTTTTAATAAAATTGAATGTTCATTTGGTGTTAAATTAAATAGCTAACATTAATTTGATAAGATTAAATGTTAAATTAATAGAATTTAATATATTAAATTTTAATTTAATAAAATTGAATTTCAATTTGGTGTTGATTTGATGAATCTAAATGTTAATATAATAGAATTAAAAAGAAGTGCATTGAAATTTCAGAATTTGGAGGGGTATTGTTAAAAATAATTCTATTCATAGGGGTGTCATTAAAATTATGTTTTTTATAAGGGGTCTGAATAAAATTTATCTTATAAAATATTTAAGAGTACTTTTGTAAATTAACAACCGTGGTTATTGCCATAACCCCAACAAACACCGACAAGCGATGACAGTGAAGTTTTAAAATCGCGAGAAAGTGTTATTAAACTTAAATCTAATTATAGAGGGTGTGGAAGAAATTTTTCCTTATATTTATAGACTCTTGAAAATCTTGAATTGTGGTGAGGAAGGATAGTGTAATTTTTTTAAAAACAAAGACCAAGTTCATGGGGTATCTATAATTTTATACTTAAAAAAAAAGAAGAAAGATAGAATCGCGCGAAATTAACAACAAGGATTAATGGGAGGGAGCGTTAAACTTTTGGCGGTCCGTCGGTTAAAGTCTTGCAAATATTTTTCAAATTAGGAAAGGAGAGCAATTAAACAAATAGCCGTTAAAAAACGCCTAATTAATATTTATTATAAAAATTCCCTCTTTCAAAACCCACCGACTCTGTCTTGCGCTCTCCCTTCATCTCTCTTTGTCTTCTCTCGCTCTCTGTTCTTCAGTCTCGCAGACTCTGTCTTGCCGCCGGCACTCCTGCGAAACCTTCAACGCCCAATATTTATTATAAAACTTCCCCCTTTCAAGACCCACCACTCTGTCTCTCGCTATCTCTTGGTCTGTCGGGCTCTCTCTCTCTCTCTCTGTCGCAGTCTCTTGCTCTCTGTTCCTCAGCCTCGCAGTCTCTCTCTTGCCGCCCCTTAAACTTCCATAAAATCACAGGCCAGCAACACAGACGAGGATTTGATTGAACTAACACAACTTCGGGATTGGTTTGGCACCTTAAAGAATCCAGGTTTACTCTTTCTTATTTCTCTCCATCCCGTTTATTTAATGATGAATTTGTTTATTGTACATTAGTATTTCTTGCCCAATCAATTGCATGTAATAAAAATTGAATTTTGGAAAAATTTCAGCCATACCCTTCTAGTTTATCGTATCTTCAGGGACACCCTCTATTTTCTGAATGTTAGATTAAAAGTGTTAATTAAAATATAATTTTACTAAATTATCCACGATATATTTTAGAAAAAACTTCATCCACACTCCTCTAGATAGACATACAATTTTACTAAATTACCCATGATATATTTTAGGAAAAATTTAATCCACACTCCCTCTAGATACTCAAGTAGAACTCAAATTAATTCGAATTTTAATACGTAAAAGACTTTTAATAGGCTCAAATTTTATTACATTAAAAAAATAAAATTCAATCTGCTTGAATCGAATTTTAATTGACTCAAATTTTAATATGTAGAAAAAATAATTTTAGTCGGCCTGAATTTTAATATGTGAAAAAAAAAATTTAATCGGTTTGAATTTTAATCAAATTTTATGTAGAAAAATTATTTGAGGTTTATGTACAGGTAATTTTGGTTTTTTAAATAATTTATTTTTGTTATAAATGGTGGATTA